GTGAAGGGAGGGCTAGGAATGGGGAAAAAATAAGAACCAAGATGCATCATGTAAAGGTACAATTCCGAATGAGAAATGTAATTGTGTTGTATACCTACAATGTACCAATAAAAGAATTTAATCTTTTTTAAAAAAGAAATTTAATTTTAACTTGTGATGATGTATATAATAAATTACTCGTCAGATGAAGGTAAGTTTTCTCCTCCCAAAACTTGGTGTAAAGGAGACTTTCTAGAAGAGGCCCCATATCCCACACCACTGGGCATGTGCCCTACAGCCTGTGCAGGGCTTCCAGTTCATGGCTTCTGTGGAGGTGCAGGTGGGAGTGTTGGCACAGCTGGCACCAATGCCTGATGCCAGCAGCCTGCCTGGCATGAGCCCTGCCTGAGAAGTGCTAGACCAGTTTTACTCTGGGCCTTGACTCCCAAAGACCTCACTAGCCCAGAGCCAAACTGACAGTGGTGGCCCTTGTTTTTCAGGTTCCCATCCTCATCCCATGCCACAGAGTGATCTGCAGCAGTGGAGCCATGGGCAACTACTCCGGAGGACAGGGTGTGAAGGAGTGGCTTCTGGCCCACGAAGGCAATCAAGTAGGAAAGCCACCCTGCCAGGAATTGGGTCTGGCTGGAACTACTAGCTCTCACCTTACTGTTTAAAATTGAGTGTTTGTATTTGAAGTAAACATTTGAGTGACACATAAATGTAATGCCACATCAGAGGCAGGATGTGTGGTGGCACCACTGTATTAAAAGAGCTAGATGTGTCCTGTAGGACATAGTGTGTCTACCCTTTCTTGTTTCTGCATTTTACAGCAGAATGTGTTCAGATGCCCAGCCATTGTGGGTGTCACTGGTTCCCTTCTCGAACACAGTTATTGTTCCATTTTTAATGTCCATTAAAATAGGGAGAATAGGGAAAGCTTGGCAAACCTTAGGGGCCCTGCTTGGAAAGGGGGAAGCATCTGGCACCCACAGGCAACAGCTGGTTGCCCTAGACTGTCCACACTGAACATCTGACCCCACCCCAGCGGGGTCCCCAAGTGGCCCTTCCTTCCTTCCTGGCCATTTGTCCTGCTGAATGATGACTCACACCCAGCTCTGAACACTCTATGCTCAAGTCTTACGGAAGGAAAGGAGACAAGCCAGGAAAGCAGATGCTCTGTATAGGCATCTAGCTTTGTTACTCCAGCTGCCAGAACAGCTGATGCAAGATGCATCCACATACAGTCAGGATCAACTGAATAGAAAGTAACCATTTTCCAGAAAGATTTGGAAAGACAGCTCCTGGGACATGGGTTTGGCTGAATTGGCACCTTTCTGGGTACTTAGATCTACCCCCAGATCCTAGCCTCTCTTACTGTCCTTGGCTTAGGATGCTATGAGAAGCAGGGAAGACACAAGCCACTCCAGGAGGCCTCAAGGACCAGGGGCATATTCAGACCCGAGAGTTGGCCTGGAAGTGCAAGATCACACAGAGTAGCTGGTCAGCTCATGCCTTCAACAGCACTGGGGCCTGTGACACAATCCAACATTTTATGACTATGCCGTCCATTTAGCTTTAAAGTTAACGATGTCCAAAAAATGGAAGAAAAACTTGTACCTTTGAGTATAGATGAATAAAGCAGAGCATATGATGTATGGAGAAAATAAACTGCACCAAACTGTGCTACAGAAAGCTGTGTTTTTATCACAGCTTCTCTGTGCAGGTGTGAATCACACTAGGAAAGCTCACATGGTTTGCACAGGTCACCAGAAACCTGGATGGAAATACAGCCTCATGGTTTGGATGTGCCTGAACATCTCAACACCCAAGAAAACAAGCTGCAGGTCTTTCTCCCCAATTTACACTTTACTATAGCCTTGTCTTATACACTACTTCTGGATATGTTTCCTTGAACATAAAATGACGTGACCAGTACCCACTTGTCTTCTGCACTTGGTCATTCTCAGTTGTTACGAAGTAAGGTGAGTCTCACACAGATGATGGGCCATTTGACATCTGGTATCTCAGGACAGTGCCCTGCGATGCCACACCATGGGTTGTGAACAGTAACACGCTCCCATTGGCCTCAATGGGGTGTTTAACTCATTTTTTTAATCTTACTCAATATGAGAGCAGAGGGGCCATCTCTGTATGACATGCCAGGAAGATGCACGAGGAAGGCCAGGGTGCCCCTGCATCAGGGGCTGTTCAAGGGTTATGCTATGCACATGAGCACCCCAGAGTCACCAGGAATCACTGCCTGCTGCCTTCTTCCTCTGTCTGAACAGAAGAGAGTTCTGGTTCTCAGAGGCACAACTCCAGGCCCTGCGTCTGCCTGCGTGTGTGTTCTATGTGCATGCGTTCCAATAGAGGGCACTGTGGCTGCAGTGTGCTGTGGGAGACCCCAGCCTCGCTCTGTTTTAGGATGAGTCTAAACGTGGGCAGCAGGGTGGAACCCACTCCAAGACAGGCCTGCAGGCTGCCTCCCTCACCCACACATAGTGTGTGCATTGTCCACAGACTGCCTTCCTGGGCTAGGAGCACCTGCATGCCCTACACAACTGGAGTCTCCTGTGTGATCTCCAGGTGGGGCCAGTTTCTGAAAGAGACCTGGGGCTGTGCAGTCATTGAGGGCTGAGCCCCAGCCTGGGTCAGCCACATTCGGCCAGAGCACCTACCTCACCAAACCCACCAAGAGGACCTGGCAGCTTCCTGCAGCCTGGAAGTGCATGTGGGGTTGTTTGAGATGTCCCCTTTGAGCAGTACAAAAACCACTTCTGTTCTCATGTTTGAAGGTTTCCTTGGCGCTATCACAACAGGTTCGACAGATACCCTGAGGTAGCCATTGACAGAGGCAGCCAGCCTCGCACCACTATGGCTATGTAGTGCTCCAAGGACAAGCTCTGCAGAGGCCGACATGAAACAACAGCACAGGTCACCTAGAGCCGCTCTAGCTCGAGGTTGCAGCGCAGCTTGTGAAAGTGAAGAGGAAAAGGAAAGGCATAAAGAAATACAAAAATGTTTTCCAAATAAAAGAAATGTTGAAACAAGAAACCTGTGTTCTTTGGCCTTGGCCCAGGGTCCCCCTCACCTGCCGGCTCTCCCTGTCCAGCACTGTGGTGCTTTGAATGCTGACGTGGAGACCAGTGCGGCATGATAACCACTGCTGCTCCTCCCAGCCGCACTGTTCTCACCACTTCCAGAGACCAAGGTAATGAAAGACTCAGAAATCATATTTTTTCTTGGGGAGCCACACTTATTATAATGGAGCAGATGCCTTTGGCCAGGCAGGAGGCTTACTTTTGCGAGGGAGGTGTGTTTTTCTCCCACAGTCTCTTCCCACTGGGAACATGAGGTAAGTAAATTTCACCCACTTCACTATGTTCTGTGGCACATGAGGTGATGAAATGAAAGAGCTTAAGTCTTTACACCCAAAGAAGAAAAACTATAATTGTGCAAGTGTGGCTGTGAAGGTATTGGCCGGTGCCCAATCAGGAACTCTGAAGGGCTTTTATGAGAGGGTTTGCAGAACTACAGAGGTAGTTGATTTTTGCAATTCCAGAATCAACAGTTGTAGGCAGTAGGCTTTTCAGAGGAAGCAGTGGCTCACCTTCTAGGTAACTTAACTGGGATTTTAACTCCTGACACTTCCTGCACAGCTGACAACTTCCTGAACAACCCTCACTGGCTCTATCATGTGCTACAGATCCAAATCATCTGGCTGACTCAAGTTTCTTCTAGTATAAATCATTATTCCATGGCTCTCTACCACCGCCTGGTCATCCCAAATCCCATCTCAAGGAGCCAAAGCACGTTCAAACTAGGTATGTTCATATGGAAACCATTTGCCTTTGTTTCTTAGGTCACTCATGAATACCAATGTTATCCAAAATGTATTTCCTATAAAAGCGCAGACTAAGAACAAAAACCTGCATGCAGATTGCTTAGAACCCTCTATGGTATGTGACTGATGGGAGCCCTACCTGAGAGATTAGGGACAATCTCAAGGGGGCAGGGAGATTTCTGCAGCCAGGTAAAAATTTGCACAGGTTCTGTTGTAACTCCAGATCTGTCTCCCATCTTGCCCACTTTGTGGGTATATCCATAGCTGCAGATATGGACAGGTGTGGTCAGCTTGGACCTCGCCACCATCAGTATAGGCAGGAAATCAGAGCTCAATCCACATGAAAATTGTTCATTTCTCTCTGGATCTTGCCAAAAATGTTAGTGCTATTTGAGTTTCAGACAGCATGTAGGAAGACTCTGGAACAATAGCCAAATTGGCCTACTGTGGGGAACAGCGAGAGTTTCTTTTACTGTAAAGATTTTCCCAGAAGTCCAGTTGGGAAACTAAACCCTTTGCCTTGAGTTTCCTATTGCTGGGACAAATTTGGATTTCCACATATCTTGTTTGTGTTTTCTTGCTGATGTGTGGCAGTGAGGTTGCAGAGGGCACTCGGTGGCCCTCAAGTGGCAGGTTAAATTTATTTAGCCTCCTTCTAGCCATCTGGGTTGTTCTTTCTTGTTCATGAGTGCTTGATTAAAAGTTTGAATTAGAGAAGCTGAAGTTCATGTCCACTTTGTTTATAAGTTTGAAAGACACAGATATAAACAGGACTCTGCAGAAAGCCTCTGCCAAGCAGCGCCTGTCTGTCTGTCTGTCTGTGCATGAAACAAGGGGGAGGTATTACTCGAAAGCTGGGGCCCCAACCTAGAGAAACTGCAGGTCCCGACTTGCCTGCAGGTGACCGAGGGCGGCTGTCCGGAGTCCTCAGGACCCTGTGGCTCCAGCTGCTGACAGATGGAGAACGTCTGGCCTCCATCACCCAGGGCAGTGGGGGTGGGGGCCCGGCGTGGATGAGAAAGTAGGAAGTGGATGCTGGGCAGTGAGGTGCAAATTGACAGCAGAGCCTGGCCTGACAGCGCCTCTGATTGATGAAAGGACACTGTTAACAAGCCTTTAAAGTTTCTCATTAATGTTTTTTTCATTACAAAAAGCCACAAGAAAAAATTCCACATGGATGGTAATTAAGATTGATCCTGTACAGTATGGTATCAATGTTGTTGGGAGACTTAAAGAAAAATAAAAAAGGCCTTCCTATTAAATACTCATTTTCAGGCTGCCATTTGCAGTATTACTGGAGGTCCCTACCTTGGTAAGTGAGGCACATTTTGTAGACTAAATTGCTGGGCCTCACAGGGAACCTGTTTTGACTGTGACCTGAGGATGCAGAATGGAGCTTCCAGCTTTCCATTGTCAAACTCTCTCATGCAGAGGGATGGAGAAAGAGCAAGATAGCATCCAAAGAGAGGCTGGAATTAATTTGCCATCTCTGAGTTAGCTCCACGGAGTGCAGCTGAGCATCTGAGGCAGGTCTATGTAGTATGTGTGCTACTCACTTCTCGCCAGAGAGCCAGGTCCCCTGGACCATGGAGGGGGGTGAAAGGAGCAGTTGGCCTGGGGAGCTTTGCCGCTTCTCTCCTCGAGTCTACATGGGACTCAAGTCATTCCCCAGTGCACACACAGCACCTCGCACACCCCCAAGTCTTCCCATTACACATCATCTCAGTTTGAATCCTAAGCAAGCAATATGCATTTCTCCAGATTTATGTGTTGACTGAAATTAAGAAAAACCCAGCTGGAGAAAATATCAGTGTCCAAACATTAGGCAATATATTGTACAAAAAGTGTTGCTTTTACATGTTTTAATTGCCATAGCTACAAGAAGTGAATACACATGTGAGACTTCTGACGGGCCATGTGTGAGCAGGTAGATGGCTCCAAGTTCAG